AATTAGGACCACTTGGAAAAGTTACCCTCTTGCTGCTCAAATATTGCTTAAACAAGGATATTGATCCCATTTGACTAGAACATAATAAAATTTTTAAAGAACAAATATTTAAAAAAACACATGCAGAATTCATAGCAAGATTAAAAAACAATTGGTACAAAAATACCTCAAGGTTTTAAATGACTGAGACTTCAGTATCAATCACAAAATAAAACTGTCATCAAAAAAGCAAATGTCAATTGGGTGCACTGCTACACACTTATAGTCCCAGCTAGTTGGGAGGCTGAGGCAGGAAGGTGGCTCAAGCCCAGGAGTTGGAGGACAGCCAGGGACAACTCAGCAAGGAAAAATACCAAAGGCAAACATCTTCATAGGTCTAGGCAGCCCCACTGCACTCTCAACTGGTCAGCGCTTCCTAGAGATTGCTTCTGAATACTAACTTGCACAGGTCAGAGAAGACCCAGCATGATCCAGGAACTACACGCAGGTGAAAAAAAAAATGCAAAGTAAAATCACAGGGCTGTTTGTCCACAAGCAGGAAAAACCTGGATGGGTGGGTCATGATCTCCATCTTGAGTAACTGATAGGTTTTAATGTGGGTTGGTTCAAGGGTGTGAGTAGAACCAGTGAGAAAATTTGGAATGCAACCACCATTTGACCCAGTTATCCCACTCCTTGGTTTATATACCCAAAGGGCTTAAAATCAGCATACTATAGTTATGCAGCCACTTATACCAGCTCAATTCACAATAGCTATGAAACCAACATAGGTGCCCTTCAACAGATGAATGAATAAAGAAAATGTGGTATATATACATGATGGAATACTACTTGGCCATAATGAAAAATGAAATTATGGCATTTGCCAGTAAATGGATGGAACTGGAGACTATTATGCTAAGTGAAATAAGCCAGTCCCCAAAAAACAAAGGCTAAATCTCTCTGATATGTGGATGCTGACACATAATAAGGATGGGGGAGGGAAGAATAGTAGTTCATTGGATTAGATAAAGGGGATTGAGGGAAGGGAGGGGGATGAGAATAGGAAAGACAGTAGAATGAATCAGACATAACTTTCCTATGTTCATATATGAATTCACAATAGTGAATGCCACGTCATGTACAACCATAAGAATGAGATACAAATTAGAATAAGTTATACTCCATATATGCACAATATGTAAAAATATGCTCTACTATCATGTATATCTAAGAAGAACATATAAAAAAATAGAGAAAAGAAATACTGTAAGATTTTGTTTCAGCATTGAGAGCATTTCTATCGATCACAGTTGTCCTCAAATGAAATGAGCCATCCTGAGAGGTAATGAGCAACGTTTGTTCAGGGGCATCTAACAGAAGATAATAAAGGGCCTGGAGCAGATAGCCTATTGGACATCAATTGTTTCATTTCCCCCTTCTTCTTGTAAGAGCACCCCACTTTTTCTTGGAGAACTACTCCTTACGTATTATCAGTCTCATGTGTCAGTGGAGTTGAGTGTCCATCTAACCTAAGGGTTGTCATCTTTCCCAAGAGCACCGCATCTCTCTGGCTGTAGGTGTGCCTTCAGGAACACTCACATAACCTCTGCTGGGCCAATCAGAGCCCGAAAGCCTAATTCCAGGAAAAGGGACTTGAAGCCGGTAGGATGAAAGCCTGGAACTGCTAGGGGTCAATTTGGTCATGGGGATAGATTAGTTTGAAAAAGTCCCTCTGCTATCCAAAAAATGAAAATAGAAATTGAAGCAGAGTTACAAAGACTGAGTTCTGATAACACCCTTTGTTTTCCAGAAGCCTCCAACCCTGAATCTCACCCCATAAGAGCTGGCAAGTTCTCTTTCTTTCTGAGAGCAGGTGGAGCCAGATTTCCATTGTCTGCAACTGTAAGAGTCCTGGTCACTTTGTATGGCCTCTAAGATCTTGTGCATGGCTGATCTTCATCTCCCACTCGAAACAAGCTCTAGGAGCATGGGCTTCTAGAATTCAAAGAGCTGCCTCAGAGCAAATGGAGAATCACAGAGAGGTAGGTTATGAAGTCAGACAGATCCTGCCTCTCCGTTTCCATTTCCTGGGTGAGAAAACAGACTCAGAGAGACTTGCCCCCTGGTAGTGAGTAAGACGCATTTCTGAGAGAAACTCCAAAAGCTCAGCCACACTGATGAGAGGGGCCAAAAGCCACCATGTCTGGGTTCTCCTTGAATTTGTCCAAGGCCCCAAACTGACCAGAGCCGGGCTTCCTTGGAGATTCTGAGGACCATAGGAACCCTGGGTACATAAGGCATACAGGCCTCAGTCTCCAGGTTATATATAACTGAAGCCACACAAAGGGTTGCACTGTGCTCAATCTGCCAGCCAGGCTCTGGTCCCAGCTCTTCCAGCTATAGGAGGTGGGTCATTTCCTTTGTTCTGCAGGCACAGACCTGGTAACAAGGCACCCAGGAGCTCAGCTGTAGACTTTTTTTTATTATTTTCCACCCTGTTAACCTCCATTACCAGTCAGGCTCTTGTCAGCCTAAATGAGAACTGAAAAGATTTATCTCACTTGTCCTGGGGCTCAGCTCAGGAAAAAGACCCTTCATTTCCTGAAGGCCCTGATGACCCTTTCTCTGTGAGTCACTCCCACCCAGGGACAAAACTGTGACAGCAGCGATGGGCGGGGGCTCCCAAAGGGACCACGAGTCCAAACTGGCAGATGTCCGACTCACGTCAGTGGAGTTGTGCAAAGCACTATGGGATTCATTTTTTATGGGTGTGCTGTATTTGCCTTCCTAATTATGTTTGCTTACGCAAATATTAAACCTAGACCACGTTTCATAAATATGGCCCCAGGAGGAGACCAGAAGCACACTGTGTGGCAGGAGAAAATTAGCCTGTGACTGCAATTTTGCTATAGAAGTAATCCTCAAAGTGGACAATGCAAATACAGAACATGGAGAGATGATTATATTTTAAATCATCTTGTTCCCTTCCCTGTGCTTCTACCAATCCCAGGTCAACAAATCCCTAAAATTGGCACCTGGCAAGAAGAGATGAGCTAGATTATCTTAGAAATAATTGTCACTTGTGTTCATATAATTAGAGCCAGTTTTTACCAGGTGTTGCTCTCCACGCTGCACTTGGTGCCCCCCCCCCCACCGCCCTGCAGCTGCTCTGGGGTATTTCTATCCCCATTTTATAAATGAGGAAACTGAGGCACAGAAAATTCAAGAAACAAGCCCAAAGATGCACAGCTAATAAAAGATACAACCAGAACTACGAATCCAAGAATTTAAGAAACCTGGACACATAGGTCACACCAAAAAAGCATTCCAACAATGCCCCTGTCCTCTACATGCACCATTTGTTTAACCTACACAGTGCCCCTGAGAAGCACTGATTTTTAACATCACTGGATAGACAAAGAGGATGAGGCTCACAGAGACCACACGATGGGCCCATTTTGCAGGTGAGGAGAGTAGTGCTCACAGGAGTGAGTTCAATTCTACACACTCAAGTGCGCTGGACGCTGTATAAAGAGCTAGTATACAGGGACATCAGGGAGTATAACAGTGACAGCTCCCTTCATCCTTGGTATCTGGATGTTTATGTGGGCAAAGCCTTGCCAAAGCCATGGGGCACTCAGTCAAAGGCCTTGAAAACAAACCGACTTTTGATCCTAAAATTTCCATTGCAGAGACCAAGCCTAAGAAAGTACCAGTGGACGCAACAAAGCAGCTCACAGCAGCGTTATTTATAAAAATGCAATGAAGGAAATTACGTAAGTGCTCAACACCAAGAGATCAGGCAAATAAACCAGGATACATCTATGTATAAAATATATGTAATCATTCAAAATGTCACCAAAGCCAGATGAGGTGGCACGCCTGTAGTTCTAGTTACTGGAGAGGCTGAGGCAAGAGGATCACTTTAACCCATGGGTTTAGGACTAGACTGGGCAACAGAGCAAGACCTCATCTCAAAAAAAAGAAGTTATAGGGCTGGGGATGTAATTCAATGGTAGATACTTATTTAGCATATGCAAGGCCCTGGGTTCAATCCCCAGTACAGCCAAAAACAAATTACAGAAATTTATTTATTGGGGGGCTGGGTTATAGCTCAGTGGTAGAATGCTCACCTCACACATGCAGGGCCCTGGGTTCTATCCTCAGCACCACATAAAAATAAACAAATAAAATAGTGATGCTGTGTCCAATTACAACTAAAAAATAAATATATTTTTTAAAAATTTTATTTATTTGGGTACTGGGGGTTGAACTCAGGAGCACTCAATCACTGAGCCACATCCCCAGTTCTATTTTGTCTTTTATTTAGAGGCAGGGTCTCACTGAGTTGCTTAGTGCCTTGCTTTTGCTGAGGCTGGCGTTGAACTTGCAATCCTCCTGCCTCAGCCTCCCAAGCCATTGGGATTACAGGTGTGTACCACACCACCACACCCAGCTAAAAATTTACCTTTTGACATGGGGAAATTTTATAATGACTGTTACATAATTTGTTAGGTGACATGAGCAGGTAGTAATATCATATATCCAGTATGATCTCCTTTGGGAAAAATGTATATGTACACTAAAAAATACATAAATTATAAGCACTCCTAGAAAATATATTTGCATATGTACTTATAAGGAAAATTCTAGAACATCAAAGAGAATATCTCCCAGTGATAACATTTCCAGTGATTTTCATGTTTGTGTCTGTGTGTGTGTGTGTGCTCATCTGCCCTTTTCCAAATCCTGCACAATGCACATATATTACTTACCTAAGCAGGAAAAGGTTTGTATTCTTCTGATGGTGACTGCTAAAGTGCTCAAGAGCACACAGTTTTTCAAAGACACATCTAGGGTTTAAACTCAGGGCTGGAGTATCTGGTCAAGCCCTTGGCCCCTTAAACCCTTCAACATACCTGCCACCCCGACTCCCAGCCCCTTATCCCTGGGGCATAGTGTTGCCATGGCCATCCTGGGACAAGAGCTGGGGCTGGGAGGGAAGCCCACTTGCCCACCTTTTTGAAAAGTCTGATAACATCCTCGCTGATCTGGGAAAGGCGGACGATGACATTATTCATGAAGATGTCATTGAGGGTGGCATGGTCTCGGCTCTCCCGCCGGGTCTGATGCAGGACCAGATACCAACAGTTCACAGGTGAGAGGAGGTATTGGTCCTTCCTGTAGAAACCAAGACAGCTCAGGTTGGCTTCATGGGAACAGTTTCATACTGTTTAACATCATACCCACCTTGGCCCTTTTGGTCCCTGGGGCACCCCTTCAAGGTCAGTTACATTATTACACATTTTACAGAGAGGGAAACAGAGGCCATGAAAGCCGAGATGATCCTTCATGATCACAGAGCAAATCTAGGACCAGAATCCAGGTCTTTGACTAAGTCTATGCTGTCTACTTCCCTCTTGAATGGTGCCCACTGGTGCACCTCCATCTTCTAGGAGGAAGCCTGCCCCCCTGGAGCTAAGAAATACTAACCCGGCTGTATTTGAAATACTTGTATGATTTCTAGAACTATGCAATGGAAAGAACAAAAAATGGACACTTACTCTCCCCCTCTTTGCCTTCCCCAACCCCTAGGATCCCCACAAAGGATTAAGAGCAATCCTTTGTTCTTCTCTGGGGATCTCTTGGCTTCTTATAAACAGGAGCCTTCATCCCTTGGTGGAACTGGAGGGTGAGGCCTTGGGGGTTCCAGTTCTGTATTTTGGGGGAGGACTTAAAAAATACAATTATATACAAGACAAATAAGACTTTGTCCTGCAGAGATTGATAGATTCTTAGCACTGTAGCTGGATATTATGCTAAAACAGGGGGTGTCAAAATACTCCCCACATCAGCAGCACGAGCACCGCATGGAAAGTTATTGGAAAAACACATTCTGCAGCCTCACTCCAAGCTTGCTGAATCAGAAACCCTGGGGATGGGCCTGCAATTTACAAACCCTGCAGGGGATTCTGATGTATGCTCAAGTCTGAGAGCCACCAATCTATATACCATTGCTTCCCAAACTCATGTCTTGTGTCTACACCCTTAAGAAAGACTCCTCTTTCTCTCCAGGATAGCAGAGAGAAAAACAATTACAAACCAAAACCCAAATCCATCCAGTGCTCCCACTTTATCACAGGGGGCATCTGCGCTGGAGTTCTTGTCTTCCAACCCTGAGTCTTTCTCTTACTCTGATTTCCAGTGTGGAAAGAGATATTGGAAAGGCAGGATATGAGTATGGCCTAAAGGTGGTCAGCTCCAGAGTCCCCCAAGGCCTCCCTAGTTCCCCTACTATCTTGAATGCCAACCGCCCTGGAAGCTAGCCAAGGTTCTGCTCACAAGAAATGCAGACTCCACAATCAGCACTTTTGAGGAAGAGAATTCTGCTGACTCCCAGTGTGACTGCATCCTCTGCCCCAAAGCCAAGTGGAAATGCTAAGAGATGCACCCTATGGGTCTCTGGGATGCTGTCCCCACTCCTGGGGCTTAAGAAAGTAAATGAGGATGGCTCAGTTGACTTTAAGGGTTTTTTATTTCTGTCACCAAATAGGCTAAAATTCTTTCTAGGCAACAGGATTTGGGAGAAGAGAATTCAGTTTAGATAAAAGATGCATATGCTAGGAACTGTCTAAGGAAAAAGGAAGATGAAACACTTAAAACACACTGCTATAGAAGAGAGAAACAGATTTCTCCTTATAGCCTAGAGAAAGAGCCAGACCACTAAAATTCAACCCCAGCCAGAATCCCCGAGCATTTGCTCCATGGCAGATCCTGGGTAGGCTGTGGGCACCCAAAGATGACTGTGATGCACAGCCAGCCTTGGAGGGGCTCTCCAAGAAGAGGCTAAGGCAGAAGAAAAGAATGAGAGAGGCAGGCAGGATGGGACCTTAACAGAGATGCAGATGGGGCCTCAGTTCTGCTGGAGAAGTTGCAGGAACCACTGTGCTCCTCCCACATGCCCTGCACATCGGGTGTGGAGTCCCTTTTGTATTCATGCCAAGTACTTTCCCACCTGGACCTTCACATACACTGTCCTGCCACCTGGAATGTGCCTGCCCCTGCTCCTCTCACAGTCACCTCCTCCTCTTCCTGTAGGTTCAGCTTAAACGACACCTGCCTAGAGAGAGCTCCCTGATCACAAGCTCAACATGGTTCTCAAAGCGTGGTCCCTGGACCAGCAGCATTAGCATCACTTGGGACCTTGTTGGAAATATAAGTCATCAGGGCCACCACAGACACTTAATCAGAAATGCTGGGGGTGGGCCAGGTGGGCCCAGCATCTATGATTTAACAACCCCTACAGTGACTCTGATGTATGCACAAATTTTGAGAACATCTGGACTAATGTTTGGGTCTTAAGTATCCCCTAAAGGTCCCTGTGTTAAAGGCTTGAATCCCAGTGTGGCACTAGTGGGAGGTGGTGGAAACTTTAAGAAGTGGGGCCTAGTGGGATGTCTTCAGGTCACTGGGGGGATGCTGGGACCCTGTCCCTTCCTCCTCCTCTTTTCTGTTTCCTGGCTATGAGCTGAGCAGCTTTGCTACACCATACACTCCTGCCGTGAGATGTTGCCCCTACATGAGGCTTAAAAGCAACAATTTGTCTAATTATGGATTGGAACCTCCAAAAATGTGAGCCAAAATAAACCTTTTATCTTTCTAAGCTGATTATCTCAGATATTTGTTACAATGACAGAAAGCTGACTAATATATTCTATCTTTCATTTCTACTCATTACCTTCCTGGGAGATCTTTAAGGGCAGGGACTGTTTCTGTTGTAGTCACTACATCTTCTGCCTGGCAACAAGGATGCCATATAGTAGATGCTATGGAAAAGAGACCCTTGAGAAAAGGTCACATTTGAGCTGGGTTTTGAAGGATGGGTAGGAGTTTTCCAAATAGTCACAAGGACAGAGAGAGCATGCGATATTGTAGGCAGAGGGAACTGTGGATATAAATATGGTGAAATGTCTCAGGAGAGCTGCAATTCTGAATATGCTAGTGGAAGATTGTTGGACACAAGGCTGGGTGAGAGCCTGATTATAGGGGGTATGGAATGCCAAGCTGAAGAGTGGGGACTTTCTCTCCTAGGCCATGTAGTTCTGAACCTTTCCTACACATTAGAGTCACTTGGGGAACTTTTCCAAACACAAAAACCAATTAAGCAAGAATCTCTGGTGGTAGAGCTTAGTATTGATATTTTTTAAACACTCTTTAGAAGAGTTTGAAGCAGGCAGACTGGAGGATGGATGGGTGGATGAGTGGGTGGATGGAAAGATGGACAGATGGGGTAGATGGGTGGGTGGATGGGTAGGTAGGTGGGTGAGTATGGGTATAAATGTGGGGCTGGAGGCAGGAGGAACTGTCAGGAGGGAATCTTAGTTCAGATGGAGAGATGTGACAAGGCCTGGGTGTTAGCACTGTGGCCACTGAATGCTGGTGAGACTTTTCAATAAGAGAACAAACCATCTTGGAGTCTTCCTGAAAACACAGGAGAAGGAGGAGGAGGGAGTGGATGAGACTGTGAGGTTTGCATCGCATGTGACTGGGCGGATGCTGATGACATGATCTGAGATAAGACCTGCAAGGAGAGAAGTAGGAGTAGGTTTGAGCAGAAAATACTTTTGTCTATCCCATTCCTTACAGTTTCCAAGGTGGTGATGGAAATGGAAAGATTAAAGGAGAGATGAGATAATTGAGCTGTTACCTAAAATGCTCTAGGGGCTTAGCTCAACTTGGAATGCAGGAACTGAACAGCATCAGGGAATTCAAAGTGCAAAATACATGGAAGTCACAGCCAGAAGGTAGATTTCAGAGGGAAGGAAAAAGACAAGTGATCTTGAAGAGGCGTGGTAGTACTGGGACAGCTTGAGGACTGTTAATTAGGTCACCCAGCCAAAATAACGTAAGCAGAGAAGCAGAAAGGAAGACTGAACTATAAGAGGAGGAAATTATTTTGCAGGAACTCAAGACTTGTCAGGTTGAAGAGAGCAGATGAAAGGTCTTCATTCATAAGATTTTCAGAGAAAGAAGAAAGAGAGTATGTGTGTGTGGGTGGGGGGGTGCATGTTGGGTACAAACGAGTGCTTCAATGCACCTGCCCCCCCAAGCCTTCCACCTGAGTAGGAGAAAGATGCAGGAGAAGAGAATGTTGTCATAGGAAGGGGGAAATGGAGCAGAGAGCCATCTCCCCCAAATCTGGAGGTGATGTGGTCATGAATGGCTTCCTAGAGGAAGCACTTTCTAGACTGAGAAGTAAAGGCAGAGTTGGAGTTTCACAGGAAGAGCTTTCTAGGTAGAGAAATACAGTCATCAAAAGCCCAGGAAGAAGCAGGAGGGCATGTTGGTGAGCTGAATGCAGCCAAGGGGATCTACAAGTGATGTTCTAGAATGAGGTTGAGGGTGACAAATGAGGTTGGAGAATTAGGTGGATGCCACATGTCTGAGGGCCTCTATATCCCATTATAGAGTTGGAGTTTCAATAAGAGAACAGACCATCTTGGAGTTGGTTTGCAGGAAGTCACAGAAGGAGTTAAAGCTGGGAAGTGAACGGGTAAAACCATATTTGTAAACCTTCACTTCAGTACTGTGCAGAAGAGGGTGGCATCCAGGTGCCCAAGACAGAAGTGGAGGGATAGATACTTAGGTAGTAAGCTGATTGGATTTGGGAGATTGGTTGGTTGGGGTTGGGGTGGTAACTGAGTGAGAGAAAATGATGTACAAGATGACCCCCCAGTTTTCTGGTTTGGACCTGGGGGAGCAGAAGTGGCCTTTGTTGGGACAAGAGCAGGTCAGAGGTGAGGCAAGAAGAGAAGATGGCAAGTTCGATTTGAATGTGACAAGTCTAAAGGACTATGGAGCATCTAGATGGAGGCCTCTGGGCTAAAGAGAAAAACGTGGAAGCTGACCACAAGTACTTGGATGATTTGCAAAACCACAGAATGACAAGGGACACTTTACAAAGGCACACAACCACGTTGGAGGATGAGGCAGATCCCCAGGAAGCCTGGTGAGGCAGCAGCTGGAGGGAGGAGGTAGGGCCAGGCTACCATATCTCCACTCCTGCTGGTGACTTGGAAGAGGGCTAGGAGGTGACAATGAGCCAGCTTGTCCTCTGCAGAGATGCTGTTCCACACCCGCCATCCAATCAGCAGGCCCATTCTCCAGTCCACGCTGGCCTA